GTGAAATTTAACCTACCCTAATTGCTATCGATCCGAATTTTTTTCTCTTTAACCCATGACTCCTCAACTGGTCGTCCTCCAAAACACTTTTGTGGGAATAGAAACTAAAACGTACTTAATGATTCACTATTTTAAAACCCATACACTACATTAGATCTCGTGAACGTTAAGAATCTTTGACATGATTCTGAAAAGTACACAGGCCTACGAACAATGTACTTTCGTGAAATTTATGAATTTGTTAAATTACAGTTTAAGTTTTCACTTTTAAAAAACATTTTAGTCTAAATTTTTCAAGTTCGTCGTTTTTAATCCGTACATGTTAACCTTCTCCATCCTTAACCATCCTTGTTCCTTTATTGTTACTTATTATCTCCTTGCTGTTTTTCTATCTTACTAAATTACTATTCTCAAGTTTCCTTTAATTTAAAGTTAGCTTTGTAGGTGGCCAACGCAAAATAACTCAAAACTCCTTAACTAATCATGCTTGAAGCAGTAATTCCATCAACCTTACTTAGCAATACATAACGTTTAAGTACCCTTCAGGCTTATAGTAAACAGTTTCATAACATACAAGTTGTTGGTCAATTCGTCACTACAAATAGACCATCAGGAATACAGGTGCAAGTCATGGGGGGAGGAGGCGGGAGGTGACATTTGTTTTTATGATATAGTAGCTTGTTTTATTGATGAAAAAGTTTATTCCAATCAATTGTTTGCCTTCAATTTATTGTCGAAATATGTTGGCTTTGTCTACAACCTTCTTTCAAATGTTTCCGCGTTATTAGGCTTCTGAAAGTACTCAAGCCCAATTGTCCGTGAAATTTGCCCTCAAGCAGACTGCACGTTTCTCATTTGAAGATGGCCGGCGAAAACTTTCCCACGGGTCTCTTCAACTTGAACCTGCGTGACGAAGCTCAGATGAAAAGTAACAACACTGAAAAGTTAAACACAAAAGTTTCTAGCTATAACTTCTTAATAAGACTATGATAGTATAAAGGAACACCCGAAAATCGTTCAGAGAGAAGAGAAGTGGAAAAAAAAAAAATTAGAAATACGTGCCTTATCATTTTCCCACGAGAGTTTGCTGTTTGACGCTGCTATGATATTGATTCGATCTTACATCAATTCACGCAATGCAAAGAATTCCTTGCGATAAGGTGTGCTACATCATTTCACGACAAGAATTTCTTCTAATAACGCATGTTACATCAATTCACGCCAAGAATTTTTTCTAATAAGGCTTTTAGTGATCGAAATACCTCCAGACACAGCAAAAATAACAACTTTATCTCTAGACTTACTGCAGAAATTTCTCTATATTCCATTTTTTTTGTTTCATCTTTGATTTGGTCATATTGATCTTTTGTTTTTATACTCTATTGTCTTTTGAAGAAAGCAACAGTTATCAATGATCAAGGCATTGTTTTGGTGTAACAATTTTAGTTTAAGAATGCTTAGGCCAATTATATACCAATTGCATTGATCCATTTATGTTAGACACAACCAATTCATTTCCAAAAGCAGAAACAGAAGTGCTTACAGCTAAGACAAAATATTCAGTGCATGCACAAATAAATTTTCGATGGTCCAACTTTTATCAGACAATAAATATGCACTCAAAAAACAAACAAATTCCCTTGGGTGTAATCTAGTAAACTTGCATGGATTCTACAACGTCTAAGATGGAATTTGCTGGCTTTAAAGTCAAATTTATTCCGGGATCGAACGGATATTTTCAAGAGACAAAAATCAATTCGGCTTAAAACGGAAGAGGTTCTTCGACGGAAGTACAATTGAAGTTGCGGTTTAGCTGTAAAGAGCACTCTGGTGAAGTCGACAGAGAAGATGAATGTTTTAGAGTCATACTAGAAGACAGATTAGTGATTCACTCGTAATTTACCTGCTTGATCCACCAAATATTGCAACCAAGTATTGCAAACAGCAACTAGCGCCATGAATGAGAGACTAGTCTTCATTTCGTTGCTCTGATATGAAATATCGTGACGTCATAGCACTTTAGGGCGTGGAGTGCAGTTTCGTAACAGCTTCGCAACCGCGCCGCTAAGCTAAGAGGCAAGAAATGTAACCAACATCGGCAAAATTAGAAGAACGCTTAGCACTACAGAAGCTCACATTATCCCTCGTGCGAACAAGAAGCAAAGTTGACGGAATCGAAGATGCCTCTCTTTCATTGGAGTTGGCAGTTAGTTTTACTGTTTGCAACCGTATCATCAAACATAAGAAGTACTGTATCTCAAGGTAAGGCTGTTGTTATATTTTTTTCTTGCCCTTATTTTTCCAGAATTTTCCAACTTTCTTCTTTCAAGTCGTACAAACATCCAAAGGCTCTTTCGCATCACAGACGTTGCATTCTTACTGTCAAAAAAGAGGAAGGCAAATTATTTTTTTTGCTGTTCTGTTCTTTTTTGACGCCCACCAAGATTGAGTCTGAATTCCCGATAAACTATCAGTAGTATCAAAACGAAGCAAGTTTTTAACAACTTAAGCACTGTGCAGGAAGTGAACTTAAACTTCTAGCTGATTTGCTATAAGAATAAGACAGGTATCAGAAAAATTAGCGAAAAGACAAAGATATTCTTCATTTATATAGCTCGCACTCTCAAAGCAAATTGTGCCATTTTGTATATTTTCGTCCATCTGAACACGAACTTTGTGTTTCTGTGTGTGTTATTTTCAACTACGGGGAAGTATCAACGTTTCTGTACTTACATTCTTAATAAATTATAAGCCAAATAGAAGACTGTTAGTTTTGTAAGCAGCATGACAAAAACACTGGCATATCGAAACCACGAGAAAATGCTCCTAAAATATCACGAGACATTCGACTTCTAAACGCATTTTTTAACGCGCTTATGCAGGAAAATAAACCATTATTTTCTTCTGTGAGGGAGTAATTGTATTTGCTGAGGCAATTTATAAACGTTTGTTTTCAAATTACCCATCAAAACTGGTTTGAAAAGAAATTTTGGCGAGGAGGAAATTTAATTTATTAAACGACTCTTCGCTTCGCTAATCTGATATTATATCTGTTTCTTTCCTAATCCTTGTTGAGACACGTATCGAGATTTTGGACAAACAAGCTAAAGGCTTTTGGAAACAAACTCGTCTTGAAGGATTAACTCAACGAACAAAGCCAGTGTTCAGATCAAAGAGAGGTTTGAAATATCACCAGAATGTGTTCCTTTTCCTGTCGTTTTGTTTCCCTTCGTGTTGGCCACCAAAATATTGGTCTTTTACTGAAACCACGCAGTAACGCGATGTGTACGCATGATCGAGTGATATTATTCCCTTCTATACGACATATTTAGCAATACTACAATACCACAAGGCAATTTTGGTCGATTTTTCTGCACACCATCATCTTTGAGTCAAATATTTCACCTTTCGGTACTTCCCGTTCACTCTAATAGGCACATGATATTTAAAGAACCGCAGCAGACGGCGTTTTGTCGAATTTCCGACTTAATTAACCTCAATGAACAACGCGAAGTGTAATTTTGGCATTTGTTGGGAAAATAAGAATCACGTGACCCTGTTGAGTAAATTTGTAGCGGGAATTGATGCTTTTACAATTTGGTTATGCCTTAAGCATTTTTTGACTTCAAACGACCATAGAATATCGGCGAAGAGCAATTTAAGGCGTAATCTTTGAAATCAGTTTGTTTAATAGCAATAGGACAGTTAGTACAACAGATTGTTCCAAGTGAGAAGTAAAGAAATCTAAATCGGCTGTTCGCTCTTGCTTGTACACATGCCTTCAAAGAGGTTACAGTTGATCTTTTACAGTCGTTGAATTGTTTACATCTAGAAAAGTAAGAACGAAAATGAATACGCAATATCAAAAACAACTGCCAATACTGTATCAGTGTTGAAAAACTCTTTTCAGGAATTATGAATACTGAGCCATTTCAAAGTTCTGCCAAGTCGAAACTTCTGGAAATATCATTTCGCTATTTTTCACAACTGTGGACTCGAAGTAACTTCTTTGTTAGTCAAACATACAACAAACGAGTGACGCATGCAATATTTTGCCTTGCGTGACGGATGGTGCATTTACTGAGCGCTCGAAGATTACAGCTCTTAAACTACAAGGGTGATAAATATGCATATCGCACGTCAACACCTTACATGTTCGCCACGTTGCGTTGCAACGCACGATTTGTTTTCCAAGCAAAACCTATACTGGCTTTTTCACGATAATGGCTATTCTTATCAGTGTTGTAGTAATTAACTGTCACATTCAAATTATCTGAAGTAGTAAAGAAAATAAGAGCATATTCTCTCGTAAATGAAGGTTTATTAGTTTCCCGTCACGTTTTGTTCATAGGCTCTCTGCTTTAGACTGATCTCAATCACGAAATATAATATTTATTTGCGTTTTCGAAAACATCTCGTGGTCTAATTGATACTATTAAGCTGCTAGAGTCTATTCTAAAATTCTCGTTAA